AACCCTCGGATGGAAATCGCGCTGGGGCTTTCCTCCATTACTTTGCTCAAAGAGCCCTTGAGTCTAAAGAAATCTCCCGTCGTCGAGAAATTGCTCAACCCCTATATCTTCCGGCTGCTCAGAATGAAGCCATGCATCGTATTGAGATTCTGCGAAACATGTCAAATTCCTCTGACTCTCCTATAGAAATTTCACCTGATAAACCTGAGAATCTAGTGTCTAATGCTGCCCCATCTATTGTTCATGTTGATTCTGAGAATGTGCATGCTTTAGTCTCTGAGATATCATCTGTATCTGTTGATCCTCCTTGCTTACCTGTTGTGAAGTCTGATCCCTTGAACAGTGAGTCGCTTAAAGAATCTGTAGAGGAAGACAAACCGATTGATGATCCCAACAATCTAAGTTTGGTTGTGTTTGAGTCTGATAATATTTCTCTGTCTCCTGCTGTTGTTGCTAATGTCCCACAAGAAGTCGATTCCTCTGTTAATCCCTCTGATATGCTTGCTGCTATTGAGAATGTGCAATCCTCAAGCCCCCGTTGATGTTATCACATCTGTGCTTGTTTTTATGGTTATTTTGAATCATCACAGTAATTAAGCTCTTTAATTTTGCTTATTTAATACATGATTTCCTTGCTATTATCATTTAATTATGGTTCGCACTTGTTTTGAATATTTTACGGTGTTTGTTAGTGTTTTTGAACCATTTTAGGTCAAAGATATGACCAAGGGGAGTTCAAGGATGAGTTTGGAGCAATTTTGGATGAGTTCGGGGCCCAGTGGACTCGACGCGTCGAGCCAAGGGCTCGACACGTCGAAATTTTCCAGTAGCTAATTAATTCGCGCACAGGAAGTCTCGACGCGTCGAATATGCGTCTGTTTCTGGGATAAAAACAGACGCCTAAAGTGGCGCGGATAAAAAAAACAGACGCTTAAAGTGGCGCAGCTAGGCAAAATTCAATACAAGCGCGAGATCTCTTTTCCTAATATCAATTGCGCGGATTTCAAGGCTCATATCTCCATATTAAAAGTTAGCAATTCAAGGAATCTTCCAAATTCTAAATATCATTAAAGACGACAATTTCTTTATTTAAATATAGGAATTAGAATTTGAGTCCAATTTGGTACAAGATTCCTATTTCATCTCAACTTTGTACCCACTATAAAATCCCTCCTTCCTCAACCCTAATAACGGGGACTGAGAGAATTCAGAGATTCTTGGAGACAAGAAGGAGAGAAATCAAGAGCCACAAGTTGTCTTGGAAAGCAAGAAGAAGACTAGGGAGATTTGGGAAAATCGCCTGGTTAATTCTTGTACTCTTTTGATGATTTGTAATTCTTTATTTATATTTGCTATGTATAATTTAGCCATGCTTGGCTAAATTCTTTAGAGATTCTTGGGTAAAAGTGTTTATGAACCTATGTGCCTGAGCTCTCAGTTTCTTTAATATATTATTATTTGGGTTTAATACTTGTGTTGCAATCGTGATAATATTGTTTGATGCTTGTAATTAATGACCATAATTACTAGCTTCACAGTCATGTTTGTGTCACCAATGGGAGTTGGGGCATAAATTAGGGCACACACGATTGCACCTAATGGTTGGTCCTTGGGAAAGGGGAACTTATTAGGGGAAGTTTATTCTAGATTGTTGTCAATCGGGAGATGGTAGTAATTAGGAATAATTGAATGCTGATCTTTGATCTTATTGGATGTTTAAGCCATGGGAGTGAAAATTCACTAGGAATAGAGATTACGGGAGTAATTCGATTCCACTTTGCATTCCCACACAAATCTTAATTCCAAACTAAATATTTCAAACGATAATTGGCACTAGGTGATTAAATACTTGAATCCCATGAATCTCAACTTCTCTCTAATTGTTTTCAAAATCCTGAACCTCTGTTTTATTTTATTTATTTTATGCCAATCAATCATCTAAGTAATTGTTAGGATTAGCTCTAATGAATAAGTTAGTAACTAGTGCTTGATACAACCACTTCCCTGTGGATCGATAACTCGTACTCCGAGAATTATTTGTTTGCAAATATACTACGCATCAAATTGGCGCCGTTGCCGGGGAAGTGGCGTTTCCAGTATTAACATTAGTGAAATCTTTATTCTAGGAGACTAGTCCATTTTTATTTTTTTATTTTATTTTGTTTTGCTAACCCATAACAAGTTCATTGTTTTGAGTGTGATTTAGTTTATGGATAGATATGCATTCCAAGGAACCATGCCACCGTTTTACCCTCCTTCTCAAGGTTATGAGATGAGTTGGAATATGAATCGAGAATATGGAGGAATGGAACAACAATTCCCTTTCTCAAATTTTACCAACTCTAGTCAAGGATATTATCAAGAAAGTTCATATCAAACATCACAACCCCAATGGTGCTCATTTTGTGGTGGGAATCACTTTGTGGAAAATTGTTACATGCTCAACCCCATCAACCATATCCCTCAACAATCTACTCAAGGATTTTGTGCCAACATGAGTCAAGCTACTTATCAAAGATGCACACCACCTACTCCACAACCCTCACGGTGCATGATATGTGGTGGATCTCATGAGGCGGAAAATTGCTTTATCATGGATCCCAATTACAAGTATCAAGGGCGAGCTCCAGAGTTGCCGTACTAAGAGTTTCAACAAGATTGTCAATCACTTGACCAAATAATTGAGATGAAGTCCAAAGAGACCAAGATAATGCAATTGTGCTCGAAATATCTGGAGTTACAAGATCACATGAATGCTCAACTTGATCGCATGAATGCTCGACTCGATCACATGATAGCTCGACAGCAAGATTTGACAATTCAAGAGCCACTTCAAGATTCATTTAATGGAGAGGTTCTAGAAGAGTTGCTCTTGCCAAATGAAGGTCATGAAGTTGAGAGAAATAAAAAGGATGATGAGGATCTTAGAGAGGGAGATGAAGAATTATTTGATAAATGCATTGAGATGAAGACACCAAGCGGGGAGGAAAATGTAGAGTTGCAAAGTAATGATGGCAAGGAACATATAGAGAGTTGCCCATTAGATGAGGAAGTTCTTAATGGAGCACATGATTTGAATGAGGATGTCTCACCAATGGAGAACACTTCCCTTGGAGAGAACTTCAGAGAAATTTTGAATTTGGGAGGCATTGGAGTTCTTAAGGATAATGGCACACATTTTCCTATCTATATATCCAATGATTCCCAATACTTGCTGGTTCATGTGAATGATCCGAGACTCTCATTACTTGTTGAACAAAAGAGTGATGAAAAAGAAGGAGAAGAGAATGGAGGCATAATTCTTGATTCGGGCAAATGTGGTTCCTTACATGATGACGTGAAGGGTTCGAGCTTAAGAGAGTTTATAAATGGACACTACTTGAAGAAATACTTGGAAGAGAAAGTTGATGGAAAGAATGGGATTTTTCTTCTCCAATCACCAGATGGCTAGAGAGGTAACGTCGAGCTAACGACGTTAAATTTAGCGCTTCATGGGAGGCACCCCATGTTATCTTTTATTACTTTCCCTATTTATTTATTGCTTTCTAGTTTCGTCTTATTTAGTTTTATTATTTTCTAGTTCGTGATTATTTTATTGCTTTTTAGTTTTCTCTTTTCTCTTGTTCTCCTTTTCTTTTATTTTGCATCAGGGATGATGCAAAGTTTTAAGTGTGAGGGGGAGGAATCATTAATTTGGGGATATTTCTAAAATTTTTAAAATTTTTGCTTTTGCTTGGATGACTCATATGCTATTTTTGGTGAATAAGTTACTTGTCTTAGCATGCAGTTACAATTACTCTCTCTTGTTGGTTTGTGGTTTGTTTTAGTGGTGCTTGCTGCATCTCAATTTGTGATGGATGATTTGAGGTGTAACACATATTTGATCTATTCCCTTGCCAATAGCTTTGTTAACCACTTAATAATTGGAGTAATTCTTGATCTTGTGTTTTGCATTGATAGTGAAGGCTTATGTGAGATTCCGGTCATGGGTGTTTTGCTAGAACTTGCCTCATTACTCCCTAAGTGATGTCTAAGTTTTGCATGTTTTGAAGTGATTTAGGCCATTTTTGTTTAGCCATAGCCTTTAAACCTGTCCCTATATATATTTTTATCCTTCGTATCCCCATTGTGCCTTTTGTTTGTTTAAATAAGTGCTAAGCACTTATCCCCTCTTTGTGATTGTTTTTCTTTGATTTACCCCATTATTATAACCCTTAACCCGTGGCCAAATATTTCCCTTCCACCCTTGAGAGAATGAAACTTTTATCTTTATCTTTTCCGTAAGAAGAGTTTTATGGAGTTGTGCTAAAAAAAAAAGCAGCTAGTGTTACAAATGTTCAAGTGTGGGGGTCATGAAAGTTTGGATTAAAATTATCTTGCTATATCCAAAAGAAGTCCAAAGACAAAGAAAAGAATGAGAAAAAAAAAAAAAAAAAGATTGAAAGTTTTTGAGTTTGGATCCCCACTTTACCAAAGAGTTGCTAAGTTCTTAAAAGAAATTTGCTCCTTGGAATTATGATTATCTCATCTCTTCCAAATTTTGAAAAGTTTAGATAAATTGTGACATTCTCTCTTTTTGATTAATTTTTCCATACCACTTCTTTGTTAACTATCACCCGTAGCCCCATTTCAAGCTAAATAAAGTCCTATTTGATCTTAGCATGAATTCTTAGATTTGATCTAGGGGAGTATGAAGGGCAAGCCTATGGGATCTCATTCATGAGCCTTGTCTTGCATAATCTCAACTGAGTATTTGTCCACACTTGATCCTCACATACTTTAAATTCTTGGTGCTTGGTTATTGGCTTGGAAATGGGTCTCTTATGTGCCAAACTAATTTGATTCTTGAAGCTTGTTGTTTTGTAGCAAGTTGGTTGGTGGTTTGAAAGGTTGTGCAAGAGAGAGCATGAGTAATTTGTATGTTTTGACTTGTGATTTTATTCCTTAGTTTTGCTTGAGGACAAGCAAAAGCTTAAGTGTGAGGGGGAGAACCCAAGAAAATGGTTGGCATTCCAGTCTACACCTCCTCATCTTTGGAGGAGAGTCTTGATCATGTTAGGCATTTTGCTGGTCTTCCTGCTGCCTCCATTCCAGAACCCTACAGAGTGATTCACCCTTCTGAATCCTCAAGTGAAGATGAAAAAATACTGGCTGAAGTCTATGGCACCCAAGCCCCTACATCTCAGGTTCCTCTGTTGAGGCTACCGCTCATCCTGATTCCACCACGTTCAAAATACGAGAGGTCACTAATCTCCTTGGTGGTTCATCTGCTCATGTGTCTGATTCTAGTCACTCTGTGTCTCCTGTCCACTCCCCATCCAAGGAGACAAGAAGGTCGAAAAGAAAGAATGTTCATGTGAAGGTTGTGGTTGAATCTGGTGAGAACACTGCTGATATAGATCAACCAGAGAAGAAAAGGAAGTCTAGTGAGCCTGCAAAACCTGAGACCAATCCTCCTGTTCAACAAGTGTTTAAGACTCTACGGTCTTCTGTTAAACAAAAGGGCCTTACGGCTGTTCAACCTGCTGCTGTACTACATCATCTGCTAGAAAGGGTAAACCATCCACACGTTCCAGAGGTCGAAGCATAACTCCTGAAGTTCAACCTGTTGAAGGGTCTGACACATCTGTTTACAAGCCTCAATTTGTATCTCCCGCTGCTCAGGGAAAATGGTCCACTATGGTCAGACGAGATCTTATTGTTCAACGATCTGTTGATAAGAATCAGCTGAATTCTGTATGTGATATTCTACCACTGCTGAATGAAGTAGGACTGCTAAAGACTGTCACAGCAATCTGCCCATACTCGAAGCTTCTCACTTATGAATTCTACTGTAATCTCAATGACGAGATTGATCTCTTAACTGGGCCACGACCAATGCAGATTTTTATTCGAGAGAAGTGGTACATCTTTGGGCCTGACATGATCAATGAATACTATGGACTGACTGTTGTGCAAGAAGAGGCAATTACAGACTGGAACTTGGTGGCCAAGACTCTAACGGGTGGACAGATTGACACTTGGCCTACGGGTGACAAGGATTATCTGCAGAGCTCTCAACTCACATCCAGATATGTTATTCTGCATCGTCTGGCTCTTCATAACTGGCTCCCATCAGCTCACTTCCACACGGTTGGTAAGCACCTGGCTGGTTTCTTGTACCGAATTGGAACAAAGATGCCGATTGATCTGGGAAACTGGGTTTACAACCACATCCTCACCATGATCCATCCACGAGAGCATAAGGTTAGGCTACCCTTTCCGAATCTGATTTATGGCATTCTTACAACTCAGGGTCTTGAGCCTATGCCGAGTGAAGTGATAAGTCCAACACTGCTCTATACTGTTGATCGGCGTCTTTTGACTGGAGATCACATTCGAGATGTTATACCGGTGACTGCCCCCTCCAATTCTGAAGCTGATACTGTGGCTGATGACTCGCCCCATGCCAAGGATCTTCATCTCTCCATTCAGTTAAAGGCACGGGTCTCTGAGCTTGAGACAGTTCACGGTATAATTGCTAAACAACTGACTGGGGCCCATACTGAGCTGGCAACCGTTCTTCTTCATTTAAGCCTATCTGAATCTGCTGCTGCTACTGAACCTGCCAGTGACACTCCCTCCAATGCTTGACCTTTGGCTCTCATTGGCAAAAAGGGGGAGTAGTATGAACTCAGGGGGAGTTGTTTTTTTTTTAGTACCTTCTGGCCCTGGCTTGGCGTTGTTTTTTATGGCACCTCTTCTTATTTGAAGAATGTTCTTAGACTGTGTTTTAATCCAGCATGATATGTATGCTATGTTTTGTTTTCGTTCTACTATGTAATCAGATCAGACTCATGGGTTGTTTCTTTATGATAACCTATCTTAGTTCTTTATGTTTATGTCTATCTACATAGTTGAGTTGTTTTGCCAAATAATAGCCAAAGGGGGAGTTTGTTAGTGTTTTTAATTGTTCAAAAACCCCATCTTATAATTGGAAATATTATTATGGCATACTAAGATATGTTTAGCTTAGTGTCCGTTCAGCTCTACAGAAGACTGATCAATCAGAAGCAACAACAGAAGGACTGACACTGAAGATCTGATTTAAGAAGGTGTTTACTTAAAAGCTGTACGCGGTTTACAGAAGACAGATTTGGAAGGAAGATCAGCGTATCTGCTTTGGAAAGGTGTGGACCGAATCTTTAAGATTACATTCTTCAAATGTTGTCCTACCATCTACAATCAAAGACATCAATGGAAGGAGTGTTCTATCGACGGATCTATAAGTACCATCATTCTAAGAGAATTAGGGTTACGCCTTTAGAGAGAAGAAACACTCCACATCAGTTTTATGAGATCAGATCTTTGATTACCTTGCCTCTTCTCAATACAACATGTTCATGATGATTAAGATGGCGAACTTGAGAAGAATCACTGCTGCTTAAACAAAAGGACTCTGTGATCACACTGTTGTGGGAACAACTGTAAAGAGCGTCATTGAAGTGGACTGCATCAGAGTGGGCTCTCCAAGTGAAGGGATTTCATTGGACTTCTGTATGCATGGCTCTCCATCTTCAACAATCCACTAAACCTGTATAGACTAGGTATGTACCTTGTGTGGGGCACTTGGGTAAGATTATTGTATATCTATCTTTGTACATTGGATTATGATTTAGTGGATTGGACGCCTATGTGATCGTCCCCCAGACGTAGATACACACTGTATCGAACTGGGTAAACATTCTGTGTCGTTGGCTTTGTGCTCTTATCTTTTCTTTAAACTTCTCTATGATTTGTTATTACTGACTGACTTCATTGCTGAATCAGTCAGTCCATTTCGTCAGTTGATTAATCCAGTTAATATGTTTAAAAAGAGAAAATGCAAAATTAGGGGCGTCTCACCATGCCACACCGGATATGACTCCTCTGCACACTTTCACCGAGTATAATGGGCCTGATGGGATACGACTGGGCGACGGTAATTCTTTAAACATCTCTCACATTGGTCAGTCATCTATTCTTACTCATTCTTCCGTGCTCACTCTTCAAAATGTCCTACGTGTTCCACAGTTGCATAATAATTTAATTTCCATATCGCAATTGTGCAAAACTAATCAAGTGTCGGTGGAATTCTTTTATTCCCACTTTCTTGTGAAGGATCTTCGAACGGGGATGTCATTACTACGGAGGGCGAACATTAATGGTGTCTATTATGCACCTCTCCTGCGTCAACCTACATCCAATTCCATGCAGCTGTCTCGAGTTTCCCAGTGGCACCACTGTCTAGGCCATCCGTCTAATAAGGTGTTGCATCGTGTGTTGCAACACTGCAACGTTCCCGTGTCTATGTCAGCATTAAATAATTTTTCCTGCCAATCATGCAATGTATACAAAAGTTATAAATTACCTTTTTTTCCAAAGCACACTTGTTAGCAATAGGCCTCTACAACTACTCTACAGTAATGTATGGGGTCCGACGGAAAAATTTATTGATGACTTTGCTTATTATGTTATATTTGTCGATCACTTCTCTAGGTATGTCTGGTTATATCCTATAAAACGAAATTCTTATGTTTCTTTGCTTTTTCCTCAGTTTAAAAGGTTAGTGGAGAAATTCGTTGGTCTGTCTATTGTGTCAGTTTATTCTGACAATGGGGGGGAGTTTACTAAATTAATTTCGATGCTCAATGCTCATGGCATTTTGCATTTTTTGACTCCTCCACATACACCTGAGCACAATGGCATCGCTGAACGGCGACACAGGCATGTCGTCGAGAATGGAATGTCACTCCTTCACGTTGCTTCTTTGCCTTCTTCGTACTGGTCTCACGCGTTTCAGGCTGTCGTCTATCTCATTAATCGGCTTCCAACTCCAGTATTAGGTAATCAATCTCCTTATCAAGTTTTGTTCAAACAAAAACCCAACTATGATAAGTTACAACCTTTTGGTTGCCTGTGTTTTCCCTGGTTGCGTCCCTATAACACCAAGAAACTACAACCGAGGTCACGTCCATGTATTTTCCTTGGTTATTCAAACACCCAATCCGGTTATAAATGTCTAGACTACAGTTCGAATCGTATTTATGTATCTAGACATGTTAGATTTGTGCCTCATGTATTTCCTTATAACGATTTGCAAAAGTCATCTAACAGCTTACCTTCTGATTCTCATAATTCTGAATCACGCCGTATTTTGTGCAAGTCGTCTCCTTTGTCTACACAGGTATAGATCGTGGGTGTTCCAACTCCAATTCCAACACCAGTTCCAACTCCAGTTCCGAGTCCAGTTCCAACACCAGTTCCAACGCCAGTTCTGAGTCCAGTTCCAACACCAGTTCCAACGCCAGTTCCGAGTCCAGTTCCAACACCAGTTCCAACACATGTTCCAACGCCAGTTCCAACACCGTCTCCCACTGTCTCAGAAAATGACCAAACCAGCTGTCGTTCGTCACCCACTGTTACCACGACCGATCAACCACCCAGTCCGCCCAAACAATCGTCGTCCGACGCCTCTCAGTCACAGGATGGTCTGCGTCGCTCCACTAGACCACGCCGTCCTAACCCCAGGTATTCTGACTATGTTATCAACCACACCACAGCGCATCCCTTACCTCCCACTTTAGAGCCCTATACCGTCGCTCAGGCCTTGAAGGATGCTCGGTGGAGGAAAGCTATGGACGAGGAGTTTGACGCACTCCAACGTAACAAAACGTGGTGCCTGGTTCCTCGCGGTGTTGGGGTTCCCATTGGTTGTAAATGGGTTTACCGTGTCAAGCGTAAACCTGATGGCTCAGTTGATCGGTACAAGGCACGCCTTGTGGCCAAAGGCTTCTTACATACTGCTGGCCGGGATTACTTCGAGACCTATAGCCCGATTATGAAACCGGTCACCATCAGGTTGGTTCTGACTATTGCGTTGAGTAACAACTGGGGTTTGCGCCAATTGGACATCAACAACGCGTTTTTGCACGGGACTTTACATGAGGAAGTCTACATGGACCAACCGCCCGGTTACGTTGATCCGCTGTATCCATCCCATATCTGCAAATTAACGAAAGCTCTGTACGGCCTTAAACAGGCCCCGCGAGCCTGGTACCATGAACTCTCTTTATTCCTGCAGCGGTCTGGGTTTATTAAGTCACAAGCTGATGCTTCACTTTTTGTTTATTCAGCCAAAGGTGTAATTGTCTACTTTTTAGTATATGTCGATGACATTTTGTTGACAGGTAATAACTCTACCTGGCTCGATCGTTTTGTGGGGTCCTTGTCAGCACAATTTGCCCTTAAAGATCTTGGTACTTTACATCATTTCCTGGGCATGGAGGTCATTCCTACTGGTGGTGGACTTTTTCTGTCACAAAGTCAGTATATTACTGGAATACTGACGCAGTTCAAGATGGATGGTGCAAAGGATGTTTCAACACCGCTGGCTACTTCAGAGAAGTTGGTACCGCTGCGACCATCCGATGTTGCGACTGATACCACTCAGTTCCGTCGCTTGTTTGGTCTTATGCAGTACTTGGTGATTACACGTCCGGATGTGGCGTTTGCTGTCAACATACTCTCACAGTTTATGCATGCACCCTCGGAGTTACACTGGCAAGCCGCCAAACGCCTCCTGCGGTATCTTAAAGGAACCGCTTGTCATGGTTTGTTGCTACGTGCAGGTCGGCCTCTTTCGTTGCGGGTATACACTGATTCAGATTGGGGTGGGTCATCCACTGAGGGTCGTTCCACTACCGCATATCTGGTGTACCTAGGCGATAATTTAATTTCTTGGAAGTCTACGCGTCAGAAGTCTGTCTCGCGATCGTCCACGGAGGCGGAGTATCGGGCCCTGGCAAATGCAGCAGCTGAGGTCCTCTGGGTCAAAAATTTGTTGCAAGAGTTAAAATTGGGGTTGGTTGAGCCTCCGGTACTATTTTGTGACAACTTGAGCGCCACGTACGTTTGCAAGAATCTCGTGTTTCATTCCCGCATGAAGCATCTCGCCTTGGATTACTACTTTGTCTGGGATTTGGTTGCAAATGGTACGCTAGTTGTGCGGCACGTTTCGTCTTCAGCTCAACTAGCCGATCTTCTCACTAAGCCACTAGGTCGTCGCCACTTTCTTCAGCTTCGGTCCAAGATTGGAGCCTCCGACGGATCCTCCATCTTGCGGGGCCGTGTTAAGCCAATATGTGGCTAGAATATCTTTAGTTGTTACTTGTTCTATTTGTGCTCCTGTAGACTAGTTATTTGGTTGTAACTTCCTATTATCTACACTCCTCCATGTACTATATATAGGTTATGTTTTACATCAATAAACACTCAGTTAATTCCTTCACGCAGATAGCCAAAGGCTTTATTTGGAAAATACTCTGTATTCATTTTATCCTTATCTCTCTCTATCCTCCTTTTCTTTTATTGAGTTATATGCACTCCTTCATGTCCCTTTCTATTTTAATCTTCTTTTGTTAATCAAATCAACGAAATGTATATGGCATCGATCTATATACGGATTGTTAGAAGGTTTTTTTTTTTTAGAGATTGATCATTATTGAGTTGATCTACAATCAAAATGCTTGAAATCAATGATGGACATGTAAGTTTATGCATTTGGAATGTTCTATCTATATTGAAAGCTAAAATATTACTTTTATAATAACAAT